CCCTTCTTCCACAATACGTCACCCATACCTACTGTAGCATCCACGCACCCTCGTCTCAATCATACCCTTGGAGCCCTTTTGACCAGTATGCGTCGATGAGTCGATGTCGACTGCCTGTGGTCGTTCGTCTGCTCACGCGGCACACAACTCGCATGGTCTGATAGCGACGCGTGCTTCGCGTGGGTGACAAGATCGTATTTATAGCTTCAAGCGTTTTGGCTTTTTGTTTCGTGAGTGAGTGGTGAAAGGCAGATCTGCAGCGTCGATTCCAAAAGTTTAAATCGTACAAGGCAGCAATACGAAGAAGATGCTAGAGCAGAGCATCTAGACTTCGAGGGTGGAAAGGCGCAGTGGGAGAGGCTTTCTGCATAGCAGCCGCAGCCAGCCTATCTACATCATACCGCCCATTCCTCCCATACCGCCCATGCCTCCCATACCAGGCATACCGCCACCGGCTGCACCTTCCTTCTGTGGCGCCTCGACGATGGCGCACTCGGAGGTGAAGAGCAGACTAGACACACCAGCAGCATCCTGCAAAGCCGTTCGGACGACCTTGAGAGGATCCAAGATGCCCGCAGCGATCATATCCTTGTACTCTCCCACGCTGGCATCGTATCCGTACGAAAAGTCTCCAGGACTCTCCAACAGACGTCCAACGACCACCGATCCTTCTTCGCCCGCATTCTCCACAATCTGTCGAGTGGGACGTGTGAGAGCCGCTCGGATGATGGACACGCCCAATTGCTGGTCAAAGTTGGCCGGTTTGAGTGCTTCGAGAGCTGCCGTTGCTTTCAAAAGTGCGATGCCTCCGCCTGGAACGATGCCCTCTTCGACAGCGGCACGAGTAGCGTTGAGCGCATCGTCGTACCTGTCCTTCTTCTCTCCCACCTCGACTTCTGAGCTGCCTCCAACCTTGATTACGGCCACACCTCCGCTCAGCTTGGCAAGTCTCTCTTGCAACTTGGTTCGGTCATACTCTCCAGTAGAAGGATCATTGATGGCCGATCGGATCTGCTCGCAGCGAGCCTCGATCTGCTGCTTGTTGCCTTCACCATTCAAGAAGATGGTGTCTTCCTTGGTTACGGTCACACTACCAGTGCTGCCGAGCATATCGATGCTCGACCTGTCCAGCTTCGTCTCCAGTTCGTCAGAGAAGACTTGACCACCTGTGAGAATGCTAAGGTCGCCCAGAATGCTTTTTCTGTTGTCACCGAATCCTGGTGCCTTGACAGCGCAGACTTGCAGCTGGCCGCGGAGCTTGTTGAGAATGCATGCGGCAAGAGCCTCGCCATCAATGTCCTCTGCGATGATCAAGAGTGGCCTTCTCGCTTGCGCAGCAGCTTCGAGCGAAGGAAGAATGTCTTGGAGAAGGCTAATCTTCTTCTCCGAAAGCAAGACGAGCGGCCTGTCAAATTCGGTCTTTTGCGTCTTGACGTCGGTGATGAAGTAAGGGCTGATGTAGCCTCGGTCGAAGCGCATACCCTCTGTGATTTCGATTTCATCCTCCAGAGTCTTTCCTTCGCGGACAGTGATGACGCCCTCTTTGCCTACCTTCTCCATCGCAGTGGCCAATAGTTGCCCGACGTGGCGGTCTCCGTTCGCCGAGATGGTAGCGACCTGCAGGATCGGTGTGAGTCGAGTAAGCTGACTGACCTGAAAGAATCTTGAGAGCCTCATCACACCTGCTTACCTGCGCGATCTCCTCGCTAGTGGTCACAGCGCGCTTGTTCGCTTCGAGATGAGCAATGACGGCCTCCACGGCGGCCTGCGTGCCTCTCCTGAGGTCCATCGGGTTGCATCCGGCAGCAACATTCTTGACACCTTCAGCATAGATGGCACGAGCAAGCACAGTGGCAGTCGTCGTTCCATCCCCAGCAAGCTCGTTCGTCTTTTCTGCTACGTCCAGCACGAGACGAGCACCCAAGTTCTCGAACTTGTCCTCCAGCGAGATCGCCTTGGCGACAGTGACACCATCTGAGCAAATAGCAAGCAGCAGGGGAAAAACAATGGAGATTCAGTGGGCCGCAGGGGAAAGGTGTATGCGCCTACGATGATCGGAGCGCCGCGTCCGTCGTACTCACCCTTTGTGATCTTGGGACCACCAAAGGCTTGCTCGATGATGACATTGCGGCCTGTGACATGACGGTGGTTGGAATCAGCAACGCGTTTCCCTGCACCGCCTACCATGCTGCCGATCTTCGCAGCTCATGGATGTGATTGTAGTGACCACTCACCCTTGGGACCGAGGGTGACGCTGACGGCGTTAGCGAGCAAGTTGACACCCTTGAGCATCGAAGCTCTCGTCTCGTTTGAGAATCTGACCTCTTTGTGCTGAGCGGCAGAAGAGGTGCTAAAGTTTGCATTGATGCCGTTGGAGGCTGAAACGGAGCCCGCCACGCCTCGAGGAAGCAGCTTGCTACCTCGTACGGCGTTGCGTGTCAAAGACGAGTTAACACTGAGCAGCGACATGTTTGCAGGGAGCGTGGGCGAGTGGATGCGATCGGGACACTCGAC